GAACATATGTATTTGGGTAATCTGGCTAACTTACAGATCCTGGTTACCCTGGCTAACTTACATATCCTGGTTACTATGGCTAACTTACATATCCTGGTTACCCTGACTAACTTACATATTCTGGTTACCCTGGCTAGAACATACTTATTGTTGGGTAATCTGGCTTACTTACAGATCCTGGTAACCCTGGCTAGCACATACATATTCTGGTTACCCTGGCTAACTTACATATCCTGGTTACCCTGGCTAGAACATACATATTGTTGGGTAATCTGGCTTACTTACAGATCCTGGTAACCCTGGCTAACCTACATATCCTGGTTACCCTGGCTAACTTACATATCCTGGTTACCCTGGCTAACCTACATATCCTGGTTACCCTGGCTAACTTACAATCCTGATACCCTGGCTAGAACATATGTATTTTGGGTAATCTGGCTTACTTACAGATCCTGGTTACCCTGGCTAACTTACATATCCTGGTTACCATGGCTAACTTACATATCCTGGTTACCCTGGCTAACTTACATATCCTGGTTACCCTGGCTAGAACATACATATTGTTGGGTAATCTGGCTTACTTACAGATCCTGGTAACCCTGGCTAGCACATACATATTCTGGTTACCCTCACTAACTCACAGATCCTGGTTACCCTGGCTAGAACATACATATTCTGGTTACTCTCACTAATTCACAGATCCTGGTTACCTCAACTCACTCACAGATCCTGGTTACCCTGGCTAGTACACACATTCTGGTTACCCTACCTAACTCATAGATTCTGGTTACCCTGGCTAGCACACACATATTCTGTTTATCCTCACTAACTCACAGCTTTGCTAGCAACACACACATTCTGGGTAATCTGGTTAGACATACCCTGGTTACACTGACCAACTGAATTCACAGAAACTGGGATAATCTAATACAAAGATCACAAGTTAACAGAGAGCCTGCCTAATGAATCATGATTGGAGTGGTTTACTCGGATATCCTGGTTTCCCTGGCTATATCATATCCTGTGGCTAATTCATAGATTCTGTTTACTCTGGCCGACTCTCATATTTTGTGTTACACTGGCTAACGTAAAAACTCTAGTTACCCTGAGCAACTGAACCTGAAGATCCTGGGATACCTGGGATGCATTTTTCACAGATCGTGATTACACTGACAAACACAATGTTCTTGGTTATTTCACTAATCCTGGGTTAAACAACCTGGTTACACTGGATAACACATACTGCCCAGCTCATTTTGGTTACTCTGGCTAATACAAAGATCCTGCTAATCGCGCCATCCATTACTCTACCCATACTGCCCAGCTCGTGCAATATTGTTACCTTGGTCATCTCAGATTTAGGTTACTCTGGCTAATACAAAGATCCTGTTCATCTGACTAACTTGAATATACTAGTTACCCTGGCTCACAGATCCTGGTTACACCAAATAACTGGTTACCCTAGCTAAACCACATTTTGGTGACTCTGGCTAATTCGCAGATAATAGCTACATAATAAAGATAATATTTTATCTATTACAAAACAATTTAGTGTTTATGGTAAACAGAAAAAAAAACTTGTTCAGGATATATAGATTTTTAATAACAGCAATACATATTTTATTTGTCGATTTAATTCTTTAATCAGACTAACAGGAAATTGGATTAAATGGATTAAAAATTGGATTAAATGATCTGAAATCAGGGCAGACATGTGATGCAAGAACCAGTCACATTAAAGAGAGATGTTTTTTAACCATACCTAATTAAATATGCAAATGATTGGCTTGGTAGTAATGTGTGTATAATATGCGACAAACGCCGCTGTTTGATGACAAAATAAAAATACAATATAAAACAAAATTATTCAAATATAATCATATACTTTTAATTTACATGCACTGTTTAAACACTTCAAGTGCTTTATAAAATGAGCATTTTTGGTAATGCCCTCAGATGCTTGTTGATTAATTAGCTTCTTGTGGGGATCATGTAGTTTCTTTCGCAATTTACCCAAATTTTTGTTACTTATGGGCACAGAAGCAAGGTGAAATATCCATAGTTATATTTATGAACACAAGCAAGGATGTTGAAATCAAAGTAAAATTTGTTCTATTAGGAGAAATTTGTCATACCACTAAATAATTAACATTTACACTAGAAGTCAAATCTGCTGTCACTTTGGACATACATGTAAGTTACTAACATGTCAGTACGTCCTTGCTTTGGACTATTCAAATTCCAGTCTTGTTTTCCTTACCCCAACCCCAAATAACATCTTTGTTGGTTTTAGATTTTTAACAGAAGCCCATCCTACAACAACAATGCAAGTCATTAGTGACCCACTGCACTAATATTGTGACTTTGTAACATTTCCCAAGACCATAGTTTAATGAGACTGTACTGTACGACCAAAACTGATTTGATTCATCAAAGCTAGATTAGCATAAATTTGAACTCCTGATAAAACCAAAGTAATCAAAACAAAATAATAAAAAAGTTTGTCAGTATCACACATTCTCAAAAGCAGTTTTTTTTTCCAATCTGCCAGACTGCGTTTGGGATACAGCAGAAAAACTATTCGTACATGATATCAACATGTGCAAGTTCTTCTCAGCTTTTCAAGAGTTCACTGAATGAAGGATTACATTTCTTGCGGATCTTTCATTCAACCATGTAGAGTTGCAGATTAAGTTAACTTGTTGCTGATGGTTTCTCTGACATTGATTCAATCTTTATCTGTTTTTGTTTCTTAAAGTGGTTATATGCGAGGGACGCTAATAAAGCACCGCTGTATCCAGTTATCGCCAACATGCAGACCGTGAATGTCTTGTAACCAAAATTAGCTAGTTGAGTCCTGGAGACCATCTTGAATTAATGTCTTCTAGTGCTGGAAAAGAAAAACGAATACCATCATGGAAACATTAAACTCCTGATATAACCAGTTACTGTGACAAAGCCCTACTCACTGCAAAAGCTACTCACTATAAAAGCCACTCACTGCAAAGCTTCTAGTGATCAACATACCTGTTATATTAAGAAAATGGACAGAATCTAACAATGAAAAATTAACACTTGTACTAAAGGTCAACGTAGCTGACACTCCAGAATTTATAATCTTGTTTTCCTTAGGGACGACGTCAAAAGATCGATGTCGGATAAAAAACTTAATTCCTTTAGTTACCCCCCCCTCCCCCACTGAAACTTAATTGATAAATAATGATCATGGCGTCAGACTACATTCACCATTAAATACAAATATATATAATATAATAATGTGATAATCGGACAGTAGTATGGCATAGCAGTTGGTTGTAGTAATGAAGGGGAATATACGCATACGCAAACTACTTTTCTGAGTTCTGCGCATGCTCTAGGTTCATGCCCTGAAATTGACCTAATTTGACGCACATATTTACACTCACTAGCGAATTGGCTAACTGCTTGGGTTTTGACTAAACAGTTGGCTTTCAAATCTCGCTGGCACCGACTCGTGGTCGCGTCCACTCTGGGTGAGTCTATATTGCATTAGGGAACATGGAATGCTTTTATGTAGCCTGGTACATGTCTGGATTCCCCTGAATGATTTGCTTTGCGAGGCGTGATAATGTAAAAGTAGTTTCCCTGGTCAGCCACAGTCAGCTGGCGTACAAGTGATAATATGATAAATGCCATGAATCCACCGATATTTACTATATTGAGGTAGCCATCTTGAACACTGATTGAAACTAAATAAAGAGAAAAGTTGAGAAACAGTTGCCTACAAATCAGGGAGAAAATAAATTTTCACATCCAAACGATTCGCTTGGTTAGCATTAAACCAACCGCTAATGAAATTCGACTTCATTCCTCGTGTTTGCGTGGACAATCCCTGCATACGCACATTACACGAAGAGAATAGAAAATATTCCCTGGTATATTTGAAAGTGAAATCGCCATCCAACGAAAGTATGACGGCCCCTACTGTTATATAGATTTACCTAGAGTGGGCGTGACCACAGGACGGCGCCAGCGAGATTCGAAAGCAACTGTTCAGTCAAACCAAGCA